TGAAATAAGGTTAACATAGGAATTAAAAAATTTTCAAGGTCGTCATTCTAATAATATTCAAAGATAGAGGTCATTCTAGTCCAAATCTTTACTTGACAAGGTCATTCTAATAAACCACCCAATATTGTTTGATACTTCGCAAATAAAGAGGCCCTCTGTATCTGTTTACGGAGGAGGCAAAAAGAAAAAAAATATAAACTTCTCAAAACCCTAGCTCAGAACGGGAAACTTAAAATAAATATGAAAATCAGTATTTAATTTGGCCAAAAATAAGTATTTTTTTTTTTTGGTGATTGGCCAAAAATAAGTATTATTATTCCTCCCTTAATACAATACAGTATTCGTTATCATCGGTAAATTAAATTAATAACTAGGGAGAGAGATGTAACAAAAGTTCTAAAGATTTGCTTGGACTCGTGAGCTTTAAGGCTTTGAACAATCAAAAAGTGCCTAAATTATTCTCACTTTTCACTAATATCAACGATCACAAAGAAAGATCTAAGTAAATTTATGGATTGATAATAAGTCTTTTTTTTTTAATTTCAATACGACAATGTTAGAGAAAAGAAAACATTCCAAATGACAAAGATCTTTTAGTCTGAACCCAACACACCAAACAACACAAGAGAATTCAAATCCAAATATAGATACAAATGTCTTCTTCAAAGCTTTGAAAGTAAACCAGTCTGAATAGGCTTTGGTGTTACAACTTCTTTGACCTCACTCTCCTTCGTTTCCAATTCGCACGGATTCGGTGGTACATCTACGGCCGGCGAGCAGTTGAAAAATCCATGTGGCTGTGTTTATCCAAAACCGAAAAAACTTTGTTAACCAGATTTGATCTTCCTTTCTGAGATTTTTGATTGGAAACAACATACAAAGATTTGACTTACCATTAGTGTGAAACCAATATGTTCCACGGGCATAACCGGCCAATCTTCAAGTCGCGGAACATGTATGATCCCAAACACGTACCTGTGAAACGAAAAAATTCCACATCGAGATCACAAATTTGGGAAGTAGTAGTATTAAAAACTTAATCAGATATATGTAAAAAGAAGGATACAGACCAAAGAACGACGTCAGATTCTTCCAAGGAGCGATTCTGTTTCACCCATGTGGCTAGACCTTCACCAGCACGTGGGTTTTGGTTTGGGAACTCTCCTCCTGGAAATTTCTCGTCAGGGGCATAACGGGTAACCCAAAGATTATGCTTCAGGAAAGCAGCTCTTCTTAGAAATTTGGCCTCGGGTCGAGCTAACGGCAAACAGTTTGAACCCGGAACAAGTTTGAATCCTGTTAACTGCCCTGTCCTGTTTACTGTCCTTGTGTTCCTTACCTGACAACATATTACAATGAGTTGACGATAACAACAAGAAGAAAACTTATACGCGGAATATGCATCTTGCATCAAACGTAATCTAAATAAAATGTGAAAGTAATGACCAAAAATACTAGTTAAATATGCAATAAACTGATGCTTTCAAATGAGAGGTAGACTAAGAATAGTGGACGAGATCATGCAAGGTACGGATTACTTACAATCCAATGGCGAGCAGTAAAAGGGTCACAGTCGCGCATTGCCTCTGCTTCATTTCTAAGTAACTTCTCTTCCGCATAAAACGCATTGTTGTGGACATTGTTCTCACCGGGCTCGTCAACTTTAACATTTACCTCAACTACCTACAGATAAAAGTACATTCAGCAAAATCACATGACCACATGTGTATCTTAGTTTTTTCCAAGGACTATAGAGACTTATAAAATTCAAATCTTACCAATTCCATTCCTAGAAACTGAGAAAATAATCAGCCTATGAAACCAAAGGAAAGGTACCTGATTAAAAGCTTCACCAGGTTTACAGTCAACAGACATATCCATGCGAGCGATAAAGAAATGCTGATGGACTGGTGCATACAACCCAGGTGCGATCGTAGTACCGTACTTTCGAGTTTCTCCTGGCTGCAGCGCTCCCAAACTGAGGATACCAGTAAGTTTTACTTCAGCTTCGATTTTCCCATCCTACAGTAAGACATTCAAGACATAAAATGATATTGGTCTTCACATATCTAGAAAGATGAAACAACATACACATCAGCAAACAAATGAAACTCGGATGGACACTTCAGCACTGTAAATCAATGTCCCCAACTGAACAATCACAAGCAGAGTGTTAAGGCTTAAACAATTATGAGCTGCCGTTCTAAACTCAAGATTT